GGAATACATATATATATATATATATATATATATATATATATATATATATATATATATATATATATATATATATATATATATATATATATATATATATTCACATAAATCTCAATAGCATATATACAGATGGTTACTTTATCACAAATATATCAAATTAAAACATTACTGTCTCCCCAAGAAATTAATATAATATTATTATATGTATGGTTATGACAGAACAATAATGTACAACTTAACTCCACAAGATGTTAACTCTCTGGTTCCGTTACAGCTACTGACCTACATATCTGCGGGAGTCAAAATCATTGCTTCTGCCCCGCGAAAAATTGTCAGTTACAATATTTATTAATTCTACAATGGAGCAATATATTGTGACAAGAGTAATCTTAAACTAACTTAATGAATGGTCAATACATATTGGTATAACAAAAATAAGGTAATTATTGCTTTACATAGTAATTAAAATACACATACAAAGGGGAATGATGGCATGCTCATCCAGCAACGGACTATCCCACGACAATTTGCCAGATACAGTTCACACAATTATTATTCACCTATGTTACCCACATATGATCACATATAAATCATTAGTTCCCATGGAAACTGAATACACAAAGAAATAAAACAATCATTCCCACGATACGTTGGGCCTAACGCCAACAATGTAACATGAAATTATTTTACATAGAACATATAAGTATATCAATATACATGTAATTTAAACACAATTATAAATGTACATATTAATTTATTTAATTACGTATCTTATAGAGGTACGTAACACCGATGACTGTACAGGTGTTGGTAGAGGCGTTTATGTTGAGGATGATAAGAGTTTCAAAAGTGCTTGTTGCGTTGTGCTGTAGACAGAGGAGCGGCGACTAAAACAGAGGTGTGTGTGTTAGAGGGAGACTTGCCACCCCGTAGGGCGGTGTGTTGTGTTTATGGCGTCAGCTGATCCTTGGTACTGCGACGAGGCAGTTGTTGTCTGTGTTTAGCTGTTGGTGGCGCCAGGTATAAATGTGGCGCGGATCAGATGTGACCCAATTTGTTGGTCGACTGGAGATATTTAGCCAGTGCTTTGATTATTTGGTATTTTTCTTGTAACGAGTGGTCACCGCCTCCTAATATATGCTCGATGGTAAAGGGTATTTTAAGTGAAATAAGTACTTGTTTGAGATTTACTCTAGCACTTACAAACAAGAAGAAATAGCACAATTGGGTAATTAAGCGATTCGTTTGTACTGTATTTCGTTTCTTACAGGATGCGAATATCATTCATAATAGCGCACACATTCATAATTCATTGTTAAAATGTTTCAACCCCAGTTTTATTTCGTTCAGTGGTTCCAGACTTATGAGATACTCTGTATAATAATCTAAAAATTCGACACGTTTTTACCCGCTGTGCTGTGATTGTGTTAGGTTACTTTAAGACTATTGGTTAGCCGAGGCCAGTATAGGTTGAACTGTTGAACTATATGAGGTTAGTTAACATTAGGTTAGAAGGCGGTACATAACAGGAGAAAATGAAAAATGCCAAACTTATCCTACAACTTTGTATATCTAAGCGAGAATACTTTTATTGAGGGAGTTGTGTCCTCAGGGAACGAGAGGTAGCCTAATGCTTATCAGCGTTAATGATCAAGTTCAAATTCGCTTCATAATTAACCGTTTCCACTGCGTCGGGAGCACCTTTCATAACACTAGTAAAGATTACAACATCGAAAACTACTGAAAAGTAATTATCAAAACATGGCAGCAAGCAAACTATCTAATATTGTCAGTGATGTCAACATTTGTTCAAAATTAACAAAGTTACGTTGTTTTAAAACTGCTGCTTGTATGAGGCTGCACAACCGGACTGGTAGCTGCGAGCTTAATTATATATTATGGTGCAGGAGGAGCTGTGTTGATTTAACTGCTTCACACAAGCGTCAAGAATAAACACGATTATATATCCATGTTAAATTATTGCTGCTAGCTGGGTTTGTTTTTTTGCGAACACCACAATCCTGCAATGACAAAAAAAAATCCTAGTAGAGCAGTGTTTATGACGAATAGACTAAACAAGCCAAAATTAAGAAGCAAATCCTTAAATGTTAAAAGCCAAAATGGCTGTCTCAAGATTTGCTCAAGTATCACTTAAGATATTCATGACTGAGTAAGTTTAAGAGAGCTCGGTTATTATCCAAGTACCTGGAATCTCTTCTTTGGGTAAAGGACAAACTTCAGCACACTCCCATAGTAACTGACGTCAGACCAACAGACCACAGAGTATAGGGGGCTGTAGCAATCACTAATGCGAGGGGGTTCATTATGCCTGGTGTCGGGGTAGGAGGGAAAAAATAAGCTTCCAGCTGGGGACAATACGTCCGTAGTGAGTGGAGCAAGTCTGACCAACCAGCCATTATTGATCACATCGCCAAGAGCTTAGGGGGTTTCCCACGTGGTGGCCTTGTCAGTATGGAGTATATGTTGCTGGACCACGCTGCTCACCTGTACTGGGCCACGAGGTGTACTTGAACTTCAGCCTGTTAGTCCAGGCTGCCTACTTAATGCTGCTCAACCACATTACTCTTACTGGGGCATGTTGTGCGCTCATGCTGGGCGACGCCTCGTCTCTCGGGGACCACAGTGTTTACTCACGCTGGACAACGTCGTATATCTAGACAGGACTGCTGCCGACCTCTTTATAACCACTTTACCCTACTCTGGCTCAACTGAACCACGAATTGACGCTTGTCCCCTATTAAAGAAAGATGTTGCCAATCACGAGCCTTCACGTTTGAGTAGACAGCTCCGTGATGAAGGTAAACGAGAAATATGGGTTTCTATGCACAGGAAACTGTTTGGCAACAAGTGACTTGGCCAAGTTTTTGTGTTGCCCCTCACCTTGGGCCAGAAGAAGAGCTCCACAAACCACTCAACTGCTATTTGGAGCACTGAAGCACTCAAGCTCCTTCACCCTCCACCACAAGGCAAGACATGTACCACTCCTGGATGTCATCGAAGAGCCAAAAAAAGGTAATTCCATACGCTTGTGCCCATTCACAAAGATATTTACTGGGGACAGACACGAAGACAATATCAAAATTTTTAGAAACGCTCAAATAGGCGATATTTTTTTTTTTATTAATCACTAACAAAACCCAAAACTATATTTATTTTTATTTAAGATAAAGTGTAAAATTGGACCAGAAGCCTAGCAAAAACAAATATGTGTATCCAGATTCTTCAACACAGAAGAGATGTGACTGGACTGTGTATTTTATAAACTGCCTTATTAGGAATACTAAACAACGGCTTGGGGTGAAGGGGGGGGGGGGTTAGGGGAGGGATGTAGGTGACCTTAATTAAGGGAGAGGAAAGGAAGGGGTTACCTTGCCAGGAGTCTAGAGGGCATTCAACCAACTTTGCGACTCTACATTCACTCATTAATAACCCACCAAAGACGCACCACATGTGGCTACCAGGCACATGTACCAGCTCAACAGTTCTCTGCTCTACGTTCAACGAAAAAACTGGGGTTGGCAACAGGTTGGCGACCATAACCTGCACCAACTTGTTAATTCGAACATCTATGAAATCAATGACTAAAATAAAAAAATACGCATGTTCTTACTGCTACATAAAACTGTACAGAAAATGCAATTCCAGCTTGTAACAACTAATGAGTAAACAAAAATCAAGATTATTAATATAATAATCAGTACTACACAGTAAATAATTATTTATGTAGTAATTTCTCAAAATTTTTAGAAACGCTCAAATAGGCGATATTTTTTATTTGGTTTCATGTACATTATATAAAGGAAGTACATCAACAGAATTGGGAGCTCCCAGAATGCAAGTCTACCATCAGAACATGTGTTGCATGTATGAACTGATAATGAAAATAATGACAATGGTCACCATTTCTTCTCCGAATTCACTGTGGGTAGTAGGCCTAACTGGTCAAGCCTATGACAGTTCCTTGACATTCTTCAATCACGCTGCAAAGTTCTGCCAGGCTTGCCACAAGCGTCTGGGAAACAATCTTGGGCAAAGACATTCTATTTTATATAGATGTCAGTCATGGATATTGGTGGAACCTTTAATATTATAGATTATCAAAGAACTGACCTTTGACGTAAAGAGATTTTCAGTCAATATGAATCTTTTTGCCTCTTAATTGAAAACTACTAAAGCAACCGAAGCTTCCAGGTTGTTAAAAGTTAGTCCTCCTGCACAAATACCATAGAGGCGAGTGTACCCGGAGTGGTGTAATCCGACTACTCCTGTACATCCTCTATTTCAGTGACATTCTAAAGTTAATACCAGAGACTAAAGTGTTTATGCAGACAAGTCAACAGACTTTTTCACTAGGCAAGAACGAAAACGCAAATTCCACATTTAAGGCTTTAGATATTTTATCTCGGGGACGACGTTGAAAAGTTATTGTTGCTCCAGGAAAACTCAACAGTTGGCTATTTCACGAAGGTACTATAATACCGTCCTGTCATAAGACAGGACAAGAACAATCACTAACAAAAGTTACCGTAGCAAGAGTCAGAATTTATGAAAATGTGACCTTCACAAGACACAGGAGAAATGTTGCAACTAAATGCGCTAGGAAACTTAAGTTACCTGACGAGGCATCAGAGCAATGAACCTAAGACTCTAAAAGGCTGTATATAAATAACTAAATAACAAATCGTATCAATAATGAAGTACTCGCCACTAATCAATGGATTCTAGCCCCACAGTCTTTTAAAAAGTGTTTTTCACGTAACTAGTGTGTTGGAGAGACGTGAGGTGCCGGGGGGTGAGGCGGGAAGGACAGGTGAAGTGGGTAGGACAGGAGAGGTGACGGGGGAGGGCTAGACGGAGGAGGGGGGCTAGGGGGGGATGGCAGGAGACAGGTGAGGTGCCAGGGGGGGGGGGGAGGGGGAGGGCCAGACAAGGCCTCCAGCCAGCCTACCACGTGAACCATTAACAAGATTACCAGCACCTACCTTGTCACGTGCGAGGCGAGGCTGGCCATCGGTGAACACGGCCGGGAGTGGCGTGTGCGCCGCTCATCACTGCCTCACACCATGCGTATATATATATACAGTATATATATTACAAACACACACAACAACAGCCTTCACGGAAGCCCAAAATAGGGTGTGTAGTGTTGTTTACTACCAGTATAGCAAGTGTGACCACACACTTCCCTCACACTACTGCCTGTTTTCACACTCGTGTCACACTAGTGGTCTGGTGTGTTGTTATGGAGTGCCAGTGTGACCTGTGGCACTAGGGTCTCGAGCCACACGCCGCCAACCAGTAACTGGCAACGCCAGAAACGTGCGACCACCAAGTGACACTCTACCATGGCTACGCCTATACGAACGAACACTAAAACCTGTCTCCATTCTCAACCTTGGACGAACCTTAACGGATACTGGACGATGCCATCTGGTGCGGGTCGAGGCAAGCCAAGCAGTTGTGTCTCCGCTCAACAGATGGCAGCACCAGCCCAGGAGCCCATATCATAGAAAATGTAAATTTTGAATTTTAGGGTAACTATTATACCATTACATAAACCCAAACGAACACTAATATTTAAAAAGTGCACTATTTATATAGTGGTGGTGTTTACAGTCATAATTTTGTTCTTATGAAGGCTTCAGTAATATCATAGTTATTCTAAACCATTTAAAATAATCTAATAATAGATCAATTTAACTTAATTTCAAACGTATAACTAGGTTTGAAATTGGTCCCTATAGTCTTATTAAGTGTTTATGTCAACTACATACATATCCATCTATAATATATGAATTATTATAGCGTTGTTATTGTTTAAATAAGATATGCTATGTAAGACGGCTCCATGAGGGACTTAAGACATTAAGACATCATTGTTCCTCTGCGACTCAACAATTACTGGTCAGATGCATTTTAAATTATCATAGGTAAAGGGTGCATAATAAATGACCGAACTAAATTTCCAAAAACACAAAGTTGCAAATCTATTTACATTTAATAAGTATAACTTAAGAAAATATAATTTATAATACTAAAAATATAAGTAAGATAACGTATGGCCTTGTGGCGCAACGGATAACGCGTCTGACTACGGATCAGAAGATTCCAGGTTCGAATCCTGGCAAGGTCGAGCTTGTATTTTTGTATATAATATATAGTTAAATTCATCATTAAAACTAAGGGCCGTCAGGGTCACAATATTTGTCAAACATTGACGTACTATTGTCAACTTTATTTTTATTTGTCTATTTTTCAACTACAGTACAATTATTTTCAAGACTTGATTTGACTTATTGATTTATTTTGTTCATTTATTATGCACTTCATACCCATCCTATGGGTGGTAGTGGCCCCCATACCTATCCCATGGGGTGTGATCCACCACATACCCATCCTATGGGTGGTAGTGGCCCCCATACCTATCCCATGGGGTGTGATCCACCACATACCCATCCTATGGGTGGTAGTGGCCCCCATACCTATCCCATGGGGTGTGATCCACCACATACCCATCCTGTGGGTAGTAGTGGCTCACCATACCTATCCCATGGGGTGTGATCCACCACATACCCATCCTGTGGGTAGTATTGGCCCACCATACCTATCCCATGGGGTGTGATCCACCACATACCCATCCTATGGGCGGTAGTGGCCCCCATACCTATCCCATGGGGTGTGATCCACCACATACCCATCCTGTGGGTAGTAGTGGCTCACCATACCTATCCCATGGGGAGTGGTCCACCACATACCCATCCTATGGGTGCTAGTGGCCCCCATACCTATCCCATGGGGTGTGATCCACCACATACCCATCCTATGGGTGGTAGTGGCCCCCATACCTATCCCATGGGGTGTGATCCACCACATACCCATCCTATGGGTGGTAGTGGCCCCCATACCTATCCCATGGGGTGTGGTCCACCACATACCCATCCTATGGGTGGTAGTGGCCCCCATACCTATCCCATGGGGTGTGGTCCACCACATACCCATCCTGTGGGTAGTAGTGGCCCACCATACCTATCCCATGGGGTGTGGTCTACCGCATACCCATCCCGTGGGCGGTAGTGGCCCCCATACCTATCCCATGGGGTGTGATCCACCACATACCCATCCTGTGGGTAGTAGTGGCCCACCATACCTATCCCATGGGGTGTGGTCTACCACATACCCATCCTGTGGGTAGTAGTAGCCCACCATACCTATCCCATGGGGTGTGGTCCACCACATACCCACTTTGTGGGTGGTAGTGCCCCACCATACCTATCCCATGGGGTGTGGTCCACCACATACCCATCCTGTGGGTAGTAGTGGCCCACCATACCTATCCCATGGGGTGTGGTCCACCACATACCCATCCTGTGGGTAGTAGTAGCCCACCATACCTATCCCATGGGGTGTGGTCCACCACATACCCATCCTGTGGGTAGTAGTGGCCCACCATACCTATCCCATGGGGTGTGGTCCACCACATACCCATCCTGTGGGTAGTAGTAGCCCACCATACCTATCCCATGGGGTGTGGTCCACCACATACCCATCCTGTGGGTAGTAGTAGCCCACCATACCTATCCCATGGGGTGTGGTCCACCACATACCCATCCTGTGGGTAGTAGTAGCCCACCATACCTATCCCATGGGGTGTGGTCCACCACATACCCATCCTGTGGGTAGTAGTAGCCCACCATACCTATCCCATGGGGTGTGGTCCACCACATACCCATCCTGTGGGTAGTAGTAGCCCACCGTACCTATCCCATGGGGTGTGGTCCACCACATACCCACTTTGTGGGTGGTAGTGCCCACCATACCTATCCCATGGGGTGTGGTCCACCACATACCCATCCTGTGGGTAGTAGTAGCCCACCATACCTATCCCATGGGGTGTGGTCCACCACATACCCATCCTGTGGGTAGTAGTGGCCCACCATACCTATCCCATGGGGTGTGGTCCACCACATACCCATCCTGTGGGTAGTAGTAGCCCACCGTACCTATCCCATGGGGTGTGGTCTACCACATACCCATCCTGTGGGTAGTAGTGGCCCACCATACCTATCCCATGGGGAGTGGTCCACCACATACCCATCCTGTGGGTAGTAGTGGCCCACCATACCTATCCCATGGGGAGTGGTCCACCACATACCCATCCTGTGGGTAATAGTAGCCCACCATACCTATCCCATGGGGTGTGGTCCACCACATACCCACTTTGTGGGTGGTAGTGCCCCACTATACCTATCCCATGGGGTGTGGTCCACCACATACCCATCCTGTGGGTAGTAGTAGCCCACCGTACCTATCCCATGGGGTGTGGTCCACCACATACCCACTTTGTGGGTAGTAGTGCCCCACCATACCTATCCCATGGGGAGTGGTCCACCACATACCCATCTTGTCGGCGGTAGTGGAAAAAGTTTACAGAGGCACATAATGGGCTCAGTACTGAACTTAAAATTAATTTAAATAAACAAATTACTATCTGATAAGCTAGTTACACAGTCTCGTGTATACAGCAATAGCTGTTTATAGCACAATTGGTTTAAAGAATGGGTAAGACTAAAAGTAACGAATTAACAATATGTTAAACCTTGACAACTATATACATGTGTAACCACTATACCTTGGCGCCTTACTGGGTATCTGTAATGTTGTCATCAAACTTCCCACTTCCAGTGTACAGGAAGGAATGGGTAAAAGCAGCACTGGTAGAAGCCCACCAACACCACTGTCCACCAGCACTAGTCCACCACCACCACTGCCCACCACCACCACTGCCCACCACCACCACCACTGCCCACCAACAAATAATTAGCCTAAATAAAAATATATGAATATGGGGAGGCAACACTCCAAAGTCCATCACAATATTCTACGGTAATCAAATATTCACACCTAATGCACTGGAAATAAAATCAATATAACCACTAATTTGATTATCAACTATGCCACACATGTTTTGTTTACTTGAATTTTTCGTAATTTTTTATTATTTTTTTAGTAGTTTTTATATTAAATTTATGGCGTTGAGTTTTAAAATGAACTTAGCTTCCGCGTGTCATCGATATTTCCGAAATATCACCGAAATAATCATAGTTTTGTATTTAGTCTTTATATAAAGCAAGCTTTACCTAGGGCTAGGTGTTGGCTTTATTTCTTCTTAGGTTGAGAGGAAAATAAATCAAATATAATATTTAATTTGTTCAAAACACACCAAATAAATGTATTGAAGACCAAACCACAACTCAGAAGATGGAGAAGCGACGATGTTTCGGTCCATGGTGGACCATTATCAAGTGGTGTGACAATCAGGTCAAGCCTCACCACTGATAATGGTCCAGACCGATACGTTGTTATTTAAGATTCGCTACCTGGAACAAAAAGGTCCAGGTAGCACGGGCTATGGTGAGCCCGTAGTAAGGACCGAAACGTTGTGATCTGCACAGCTTTTCCTCATCCATGTTGTTGTGACTCATCATCTACTAATATATGTATTTAATAAAACTACTAAACAAATATGGAATATTTTACAAATTAAAAGTGCTTTGAAGATCGCAGTTTATTTTTGTGAACACTTTTATCATTTCTAACCATTGGCCATGTAGAGTCTCCCAGCGGCCTTGGTACCTCCTCGCTGACGTCGCCTCAGTTTTAATGGAAGAACTCAAGATGCTAATGCAAAAAGATACAATTTTAGAGATATGTGGCAGCCCATGTTCTTATACTTTTAGTGAGCCTTGTCACCTCCTCCCAGTAGTTAGGATCTTTATGATTTCCTAGAAATCCATGAGCTACACCGCGCAGGGCACATCATGCTTCTCTTTTCACGTTGCTCATCTTTCTGTCGAGTTTTTCTAACTTCAAGATCGCATCTATCTGAGGTCCAATAAATATACCATCAATGAATTTGGCATCAGAGAGCTTTGGAAATATAAAGCGAATTTCTTGAAAAGTTTTTCATCCAAAATCGAAGATTTTTGCAAAGTTTTTTATCAATCCCAATAGAGGTACTACCTAGCAGTAAAATAGGTACCTGGGTGTTAGTCAGCTGTCACGGGCTGCTTCCTGGGGGTGGAGGCCTGGTCGAGGACCGGGCCGCGGGGACACTAAAAGCCCCGAAATCATCTCAAGATAACCTCAAGATCCCAAATTCAAATAGAGTAACAAAACCTGTCCGCGCTCTATCAGAGGCTGTCTGACAAGATTCCTACCTGTACTTCCTGCCGTGGGGGGGGGGCACTGAACCTTCTGGTAATGATCTTCATCATCCATGGTATTCCACAAATACATAAAGGAAGGAAGGAAACATCAATATTTTGTATATCCACCCTGCAAATCTAACAAAGAGCCAAACATCTTCAAATTTACACACACATCCCACTTTAATTCTGCATAGTCGATTTTGGCAAGTATATGTTTAACATTTTCATATTTTCTTTTATTGGTACTGAATGTGCAAGAGGTACGGATAAATATAGCCAGGAAATACGGTATGGATGGATATTGGATAGATATAGATATAGACTTGAGACTGAGCAGTCTGTGATCAGTCGCCATTCCGCAGGGTCGTGCTTCAGTCCAACATCATGCTTCACTAACATCAAAGTAAATACCAAATTCTGCACGACTTTCTCGGTACACAGAAGTCCTCCAGTTCCCCCCTAGTACATTCCACTCTCTTAGCCGTGATGTTAAAAGTTCATCTCCTGACTTGGTGAGACTCAGGTCCCTGATCACGTCAGGGACCTGAGATTCGCTTTCTTTTGGAAAGTGAGAACGTGAACTTGTTCTTGGCACTCTTGGTTCATCTAGTGCTTGGTTGGCGCTGTTTGCCGACTCTTCGCAAGAAGTACAAGCCATAATATCAACTTCCGCCTGAAATAGAAAAAATACCTTTAAATTGCAAGCTACATTACAAGTTCTTATTAACTAAAAGTACAAGTTACATAGTGATATTAGTTACAAGTAATAGTTACATTTGCTGCTTGTCTTCATCACCAATAGACAATGCAAAGGAAAGTCTATAATTCTACATGCTATCCACAATGTGGCACCTTTCACAATTTTTCACAACTGAATATGCAATCATATTCAATGAAATTATATTATATAAATATATATTATATATGTATATATATAACTGAAAACTCCACACCCCAGAAGTGACTCGAACCCAGACAGCCAGGAGCTCAATGCACCACGGCGTACCCCGGTTCTTTAACCACTCGACCAACCGTGACTGTACAAAAGACGTTGGTAGCCAAGGCTATTTGCCCAACATCCCGACAGCACTTGGTGGTAAGCTTAGGTACAGATATTTCAACGAATCACCTCACTTTATGGGGCCACGTGATGGGGCTGACCCTGACCCTGAGGCAGATGGCGACTATGGTGGTAGCCGCGGAATTGAAAGGTTGGGTAGTGAACTCAATAGTTCAGGATTTCATAGTGAACTTGGTGAAAAATTACATAGATGAGTAACTTATGGTGGAGCAACCGGTGTTGGAGGCCATGGTAAGTAGAGGCTCAACGGACCCGTGAACGACACCCGCACATGAGAACGACACACGCACATGAGAACGACACACACACACGAGAACGACACCCGCACATGAGAACGACACACGCACATGAGAACGACACCCGCACATGAGAACGACACCCGCACATGAGAACGACACCCGCACATGAGAACGACACACGCACATGAGAACGACACACGCTCATAAGAACGACACACGCACATGAGAACGACACACGCTCATGAGAACGACACCCGCACATGAGAACGACACCCGCACATGAGAACGACACCCGCACATGAGAACGACACACGCACATGAGAACGACACACGCACATGAGAACGACACCCGCACATGAGAACGACACACGCAGATGAGAACGACACACGCTCATGAGAACGACACCCGCACATGAGAACGACACACGCACATGAGAACGACACACGCTCATGAGAACGACACCCGCACATGAGAACGACACACGCACATGAGAACGACACACGCTCATGAGAACGACACACGCACATGAGAACGACACACGCACATGAGAACGACACACGCACATGAGAACGACACACGCTCATGAGAACGACACACACACATGAGAACGACACACGCACATGAGAACGACACACGCTCATGAGAACGACACACACACATGAGAACGACACACGCACATGAGAACGACACCCGCACATGAGAACGACACACACACATGAGAACGACACACACACATGAGAACGACACACGCACATGAGAACGACACACGCACATGAGAACGACACACGCACATGAGAACGACACACGCACATGAGAACGACACACACACATGAGAACGACACACGCACATGAGAACGACACACACACATGAGAACGACACACACACATGAGAACGACACACACACATGAGAACGACACACGCATATGAGAACGACACACGCACATGAGAACGACACACACACACATGAGAACGACACCCGCACATGAGAACGACACCCGCACATGAGAACGACACACGCTCATGAGAACGACACACACATGAGAACGACACCCGCACATGAGAACGACACACGCTCATGAGAACGACACACACACATGAGAACGACACACGCACATGAGAACGACACACGCTCATGAGAACGACACCCGCACATGAGAACGACACACACACATGAGAACGACATACACACATGAGAACGACACACACATGAGAACGACACACACACATGAGAACGACACACGCACATGCGAACGACACACACATGAGAACGACACACACACACATGAGAACGACACACACACATGAGAACGACACACACACACACATGAGAACGACACACACACATGAGAACGACACACACACATGAGAACGACACACATACATGAGAACGACACACACACATGAGAACGACACACGCACATGAGAACGACACACACACATGAAAACGACACACGCTCATGAGAACGACACACGCACATGAGAACGACACACGCACATGAGAACGACACACACACATGAGAACGACACACACACATGAGAACGACACACACAGGGGAACAGCCTACCTGTAACGACGCGTGAAAGAGACCTGGGGGTGGACGTAACACCTAATCTATCTCCTGAGGCACATATTAATAGGATAACGACAGCAGCGTACTCTACACTGGCAAAAGTTAGAACATCATTCAGAAACCTAAGTAAGGAGGCATTTAGGGCGCTTTACACTGCCTACGTAAGGCCAGTCTTAGAGTATGCCGCCTCATCATGGAGTCCCCATCTGAAGAAGCATATAATGAAACTGGAAAAGGTTCAGAGGTTTGCAACGAGACTCGTCCCAGAGCTACGAGGGATGGGGTATGAAGAGCGCCTGAGGGAACTGTGCCTTACGACACTAGAAAGAAGAAGGGAGAGGGGGGACATGATAGGAACGTATAAGATACTCAGAGGAATTGACAGAGTGGACATAGACGAAATGTTCACACGGAATAGTAACAGAACGAGAGGACATGGATGGAAGCTTGAAACTCAGATGAGTCACAGAGATGTTAGGAAGTTTTCTTTTAGCGTGAGAGTAGTGGGGAAATGGAATGCACTTCAGGAACAGGTTGTGGAAGCAAATACTATTCATAATTTTTAAACCAGGTATGATAGGGAAATAGGACAGGAGTCATTGCTGTAAACAACCGATGCTCGAAAGGCGGGATCCAAGAGTCAATGCTCGATCCTGCAGACACAACTAGGTGAGTACAACTAGGTGAGTACACACATGAGAACGACACACGCACATGAGAACGACATACGCTCATGAGAACGACACACATACATGAGAACGATACACGCACATGAGAACGACACACACACATGAGAACGACACACGCACATGAGAACGACACACACACATGAGAACGACACACGCACATGAGAACGACACCCGCACATGAGAACGACACACGCACATGAGAACGACACCCGCACATGAGAACGACACACACACATGAGAACGACACACGCACATGAGAACGACACACGCACATGAGAACGACACACACACATGAGAACGACACACGCACATGAGAACGACACACGCACATGAGAACGACACCCGCACACATAAGAACGACACACACGCACATGGGAACGACACCCGCCTGTAAATCGACCCGTCTGTAAAAGGGACCAACTTCGACCACTGTTGCCAATCCTCACAGTTCAATTTTGGTAAATTAGCGAATAATTATACAATAAAAAATAAAAATACTAATGATAATAACGCAACTAATAGTAAATAATTGGCAACAATAACAACAGATTCAATGTACCAACGATAATCGTACAAGCCTACTCAGAAAATGTATGAAAAATAACTACATAATGTATCATATATGCGATGATGCAGTATTGCAGAGGACGGGCTGGTCTGGGAGGCGTCCGGTCTCCTGGTTCTTACCAGTATTTACAAGTCAAGTAACGCCAAAAAGCGACTGGCATATGAAGGAGGCGAAGTAATGCATCCTTTATACAGTCCAACCAACTCTCGACTCGCATGTTAACGCAGAATCTCAGTCTCAATCTCTCTCTCTCTCTCTCTCTCTCTCTCTCTCTCTCTCTCTCTCTCTCTCTCTCTCTCTCTCTCTCTCTCTCTCTCTCTCTCTCTCTCTCTCTCTCTCTCTCTCTCTCTCTCTCTCTCTCTCTCTCTCTCTCTCCAAGAGAGTAGGCGTGTGATCCCGGTGGAGTAAGTGGGAGAGACGTACGGTATTTCTTCACATCTCGGGTCTTATGTTGCTCTTAAATCCTCTGTAGGTGCTCTATTGTCCCCACAACTCCCTCCACCCTACCCTACATCCCCATCCTCACAATCCCTACCCAACAACCCCCCCCCCCCCTTAAACCCTGTTCACAACTCCCTTCACCCCTACCCCGCAACCCCCCAACACACTCCTCAACCCTCCCCACAACACCATTAATACACCAACATCGGGCTAAGGTCAGAGGTCAGGTAATCGTTTTAATTATCCACAAATTGGGTCATAAGGTCGAAACGAGGGACATGTGTCGTGTTGATGGCTCTACGACTCCTTCCTCCCCCTCTTCCCCTCTTTACAACCCCTTCCTCCTCCTCTTCCCTCCCTTCCTTCCCCCTTTTTTCTCCATCTCTTCTCTCTCCCTCCACCCACTCGTAGCTCCCCTGCCCCTGCCACACGGACAAGTATGCCAGCCTCCATATATATGGTATTACCATCCACTAGAGTTACAAGGTTACACTGGAGTGGTCGCCACGTTGGACCACAATGTGTTGTGCTCACACTGTAGTGGTACCACTTGTGTCAGTGCTCAGCCACACACGCCAACCTTCATCAACAACAACAACGTCGGATTACGAGGTCAAACGTAGTTACCCCAAGTGTGGAGTGGCCGCACATGAGACTGTGGGAATGCGGATCAAAGGAGAGACTGCCACACCAGCCATTACCTGGTCAGGTGTTCACATGTGACCCGCTACTCCAGGCTCTAATATGCATATGTATATAGATCCTTTACGTCAGAGTTAAGACTAATATATGAGGCGGGGAGGCATTACTGGCCTGCCCTTCATCCTCACCCGAGTGTAAGAGTCTCCAGAATATTCGCTTTCATTTGTTTATGCTAAAATACTTACGATAATTTATAAACAGCTCCTACACAATGGCGCGCGTGCGCTCACACACACATGCTGGAATAAACTTACAATGAAAATATCAACACAGTTCAGAGAGTGAGCCTGACTGAGAGCAGACACGGGGAGTCTGCATATTATTAGACTGTCTGAAAGCATTTGACACTGTCCCGCATTAAAGGCTTCTGTACAAGGTTG